GCTTTATCATCAGTTATTTCCATGCAACTCAACTTTTATTCTATTTTTCACTGATACAAACACTTGTTGCATATAGATGCCTATAAGTATGACAATTGCAAAATAAAATTATTTACATACGGAAAATAGGACTAATTTAACAAAATGTCAGAAAAAGCTTAGCTAAATGATATTAACTTATGCCTAGTAATGTTGAGTACTATTTTGATACAGCTTAATCCCAGCTTAAGCATGTTAAAAAAAATTGTCTTCAAAGTCTGCACCAGATATGCTTAAATTTACAAATTAAAGATACAGCTCTCACACACAAGTTGCCCTCAATTACAAAAGCTATACTAAAAAAGAGTTTGAGACTCGATGTTAGTTAAGACTGTAAACAAAAAAATAATTTCTGCAGTTATTTTTTCAAGATGAATTTATCTCAATAAATTAAAACTGAAATATGAAAGGTACTGCAAAGCCTAATCTATATCATTACTTTCTATAGTACACATGACTTTCTAAAGATTTATGTGGCCAGAAAAATTTATATATATCCAAAACTCACACAGATTTATGAAAAAAGAAGCTTTTGACATTACTCAAGAATAAGCCATCATCCAAACATTAAAAGTGTCTGAGATATAAATCCATATGTAAAAGTCTACATCTATGATTTGCACACTCTAAAACATGTTTGATAAAGTCATAAATTACATGGCATGTGAATTTTGATGTTCAAGACTCCTATGAAATACACTTGAGAAAAGGACATCTTTTTAACATTAAAGAATGGAATAAAGGGCAGAAATACAAAACAGTGATTTAAGTCCTTAGGTTACAATTTTAGAAGCCTAAGTTAAACATGAGTTTTTGAAGATAGACTATTTGTAGCAGTAATGCACACAAAAATTACTTATGAAAGCACTTGATAGCATAAATCTGAAAGACAGGAGACAAAATAAGCAGACTGAGGATCCATGTACCTCAATAAAAGAGAAACTTATGTTTGCTGAACTTGAGAGAGGGAAAAGTTCAAGTAACAATTTATTTGCAGAAAAGCTGATTGTAGTTAATAATTTATTTATGAAGGCTGTGCCAAAAATTTTTCATGCTCTACTGACTGTAGAAAAATCACAGCTTACTTACTATCCTTCAACATGAATACACAAACCTACAAAAATAAAGCTGCTAAAACTAATTCAGGGTACACATCAGCTCTTTTGTGGCCTTTTTCAGAAAATTAGGCTTAGGAAGTGTTTATGGAGTTTAATTCTTTTCAGTAAATGTAATTTAACTACATATTTTACATCAACAAAGAACAGTAGCCAGTGAGCACAAAACAAAAACAAAAAAATATCACCTCTCACTCCATGTGTTGTAAGCAGAACTAATAAAGACTAGTTTTCTTTTGTCCTATTTCTTTAGATTTCCCCACGCAATTTACAGCTCTTCCAAGTCTCAGTTGCTCATTACTCCAAATCTCAGTGAATTACTGCATCCTCAATGTTATATCCCTTTGCAATATCTTCCATTCTTCTCTATTCTCTCACCCTGTTCTCTGTTCTGCAACACCCTTACCTCCGTTTCAAATCTACTACGGCTGCCTCATAACTTAAGTCAACCTCCTACCTTATCTTCTACCTTTGTTTTGCCAAAGCTTCAAGTTAAAAAAAAAAAAGGCAACAGAACAGCACTGGCAATGACTAGCTCACAGACAATTAGAAAATTGTTTGCCTTTCTGTAAGTGTGGGTTGCTAGTTTGGGTCACTCTCATCCAAGCATCTATCTTCATGAATCTTGCTGGAGTGTTATTTCTTCGGAACTACCTGGATTAGATTTCATGGAAGTTAGCCAAAAGGTTCAGAACGGACTGGAAGTACAACAGAACCTAAAGTTTTAAGAACCCAGACTTCGAACATTACATGTCATGCTTTGGCAAGATACCTCTTGTAGGATCCCCGAAACTTCTGTTTATTAAGGGTGAAGTATTGCTGAACCAATTGTTTCCTGCTCCGCCTTTCATAGAATTTTATTAGAATGACTACATTGCAAATCTCAATCTTGATAGCAGATTGAGTAATTGAATAATTACCTATAATGTCTGGAAATGCTAGATGAGGTAGTTTCTTTCATACTGGCAGCACCTGTGGATTCCACATCTGAGGTATTGGATGAATGTGCAGTTCCATCAGATCTCCTGATACACAAGATAACAGGGTTGCCATGTAATGAAAATAATCTTATATTAAAAACTCATCTAACATTTCAGAAACAAGACAGATTATAACACCGTGTTACTTCTGTTTTACAGGGATTTTTTTAATGTTGTTGTTAATTTACCCAACAGTGCAGGGTAATTCCAAGGCTGGGTTCTCTATCGCTGGAACTGGTTCATTATCCTAAAGAGAGAAAAAAAGTATTTAAAATTAAGGTTTAATTGCTGTTATCAATTTTGTTTAAGGGTTAATGGAGGAATATCATGATTCAGATTAATTGGTTACATTTTTCTTCAAAAATTATAATCCAGTTACAGGGAAAAGGGAGGGCAGAGGAATAACCAAAACCTTACCAGAGGAGACGACTCTGGAGTTTTGTGAATCATTTTTCTTGTATAAGGACCAGGTGGACGACCTACAGATTTTTTTTTCCCCTTTCTCTCTATACCATTACTTAATTCCCTAGAAGAAAATTTATATTTTGTTCTGTATTATTGAAGATAATTTTCACTGAACACATGTTTTCCTTTGGCAATGAATACACATTTAGATGTCTATTGCTAAAATATTGTGCTAAATGAGGTTATTCTGGTAAATCAAAATTATCAGGTATAAAGATACATATTTTTGCCTCTAGAATAACAAACAGACACAAGGTCTTTCTAGGGACATTACCAATTCTCTAATGTTGAGGAGGAATGAACAAGTGTTAAATATTTTTTATTCATATGATTACACTTAGCAAAAAAGATGGCACATTTACTAATAGAAGTTAAAACTTCACATCACACTTCCTATTTAGAATTCTAGTTAGATTATTGTGTAAGAGCTCCAGAAAGGCAAGAGATTTTTGTTTCCCAAATGGCAGTGAAGTTGGGATATTTTCTATTGTTCTTACTGCTAAAGATCATGTTGGGGTTTTTTTTGTTGTTTTGTTTATTTTTTTTTTACAAGGATACTATTAGAAAGCTAATTAAATTCATTAAACGACCTTGTTCACACAAATAGTCCATCTTTACAGTTACTTTAAAAGATACACTATACAATGAAAAGGCCTTTTATTTTGTAGGCACCAAAAACATACCCAAAGTAGCCTCGATTTACCACCATGTTACTAGAATGACTGAGTTATTTTACCTTACATCAGGGATTGGTTTAGATGATTTTCTGCCTTTAATTTTGAACTCATGAGAAGTTCCTTCTGGTTCTTTCTCAGCCTTCAAAGCAGCATTTGGTGGTACAGGAGGAACACGAATTCTCAAGCCAAACAAATGCTTCTTTTTCTTTATCTCTTTTCCAGACATAAACCTAGATGATTTTAAATTAATTGTTAAAATTCTGAACCCACGGAAAGCAACTTTTTAAATAACAGTGTACATGCAAAACAATACTCCCCTCCTTCCCCTAACGCAATCCTCACTCTCAAACAGAGAATGTGAAGTGGAAAGAGGATGGAAGTTAAAAGAAATTTTTTCTCATGACCTGGGTTCCACTCAAATAGTTATGTAATATTATAGTTTGAGACAGAAACAATGTTTGAAATTTAAACATTATCTGCAACCAAAGTGCTGAAGTGATTATTAGATAGACTGAGCAAAGGAGACTGAAGACTGTAATCTACATCAGATTAAATAGGCAAACAACATTTAAAACAAAAAGTACCAATAACTTACATGGTCTTGTAATCATTTAATGCCTCCAGTACATGCTCATATCTTTCAGATTTTGGTGTATCTGCCAGCTGTGAAGTATTAAGAAATCATTTAACCTGTCAAATTCTTTAGTAATAGAATGATTCCAGTTACTTTGACTTACTGTAACTACAGATTTGGATGTGAAGTACATTTATGAAGTATTAGCTGTGGAAACTACTTAACCCAAAGGACAGCAATCATTATCCCATATATTGTGTGATTTGCATTCACAGAATTCATGCCAGGATCAAGCCCACGCCAAAGAATTTGAGTTTCACCTCTAAGAAGTGCAAAAAAATAATTTTAATACCTCAAAGAACGTAATACTAGCTTGCCCTCCCAAGACTGCTAACAAGAAATCTTCTGTGGCATTATGTACTCTCTAATTAATAGGGATAGCAAGCAGAAGATAACTATATTAACACAAGAACTTAGTTATTTTATTGGTGATCATTTTAACAAAAATCTTGCCATGGGACCTAATTTCCATTTTTGCCAACAATACTCAAAATGATATAAAAAATGGAAAGGGTCCAAAAAAGTTAAAAAAAAGGAAATAAAATTTCATGCTCCTTTTGCTAAGACTGAGTCTAACCTCCCTTCTTGCACCAAAGCCTGAAGTAGCTGGTCCCTATCAAGCCACCAAAACATGGAATCTTCTAGCTGAAAAACTGCATACTTATGAATTACAGAGACAAAGCAGAATACAGTATGGTGGTGACAAAACAGTCATTGGAAGTGGACACATTTATGTAACAGAATTTAAAATAAGATTATTTTTATATTTAGACAGTTATTTTTAAAATTCAGTGAAGCTACCATATTGGCAGTTGCCATGTCAAAGTGTTCCAGCATTTATATCCAATTGGCTCTGCAGTAAATTTATCTTTAATTATAGAGCTGACAAAACAGTTCAAGTTTCACTATTGGTATGAATACTACAGACAGACTGTATAACATTTGCAGCTCAAAAAAAGAAAAATAAAAGAGCCTTCAAATACGTTCTAAAGAAGAAAATTCTGACCAAACAGGACAGATACAAACGCTCAAAGGATTAAATGTAGTAACAGCTAAATAAATAACTGAATAAAATATACTCATAAAACCCAACCTTTTAATACCATTTTGGGCAAGAGTCACTGTCTACCTGACTATCAAAGTTAAGGGAGGTATTCAACCAATTTTAGCCAAAGAAAGTAACAACTGTTTTTACACATCTTTACCATATGCATTCAGTACAACCCATTGCTATCCAGAGGTCTTGCAACTCCACAGGACTTAACTATAGAAAACTGTCATATATTTATTGCATCCTAAATAATAATATGCTAAAAATCACTGGCTTGAGAGGTCTGATAATTCCACCATTTACTCCTACCTTACCTGTGGCTAAAAAACCTTTTCCTCTTATTCAATTACAAGCAGCTAGAGAAAGGAACCAAAAGTGTCACTTCTAACAGTGATAAGCTAAGAATATTACAAAAACCCTAAAACCATTATATTGTAAATGCTATTCTTTCTGTGATTAATTTTTGTTTAATAAACCATATTAACCAAAGAAGTAAAATACATTTGCCTCAAATTTTTCAAGACAATTTTTCCCAACTTAGTGAGAGACATTTAGAATCTTCTCAGAATAAAGTCTTGAAGATTTCCTCTACACAGCTTTTAAGCATTTATTCAATGTCTATCCCTTCAAAAATGTAGTCTTCAGGCCTAAAAGAAGTAGGTTTCTTGAAGGTGTAGAAATATTGATTAAGGAACTGAAAGTACCACTTAAAGAAATGAGTTTCCTTATTTTGGATCTCCCCTCTCCTTCCTCCTCCTGAGTTATGTGTTTTTCACATAGATTGAGTGTGGATGGACTGAAAGCAGAAAGGAGGACAAGCAGCATAGTGAGGACTGCAGCCTTTCAACTTCAAAATGGCATGTGTGCTCCAAATCAATGGCAGCTACATAGATCCACTCTCCTCATCCACACCACAGCTGCTCTGACCGGCCATTCTGACATGAAATTATGTTAAATCTAAGTAAAATTATATCATGTGAAAAACAAACATTTCTTCTATATTTCCCTCAATACTAAAAGAAACAGAAGTCAAAATTAAACGCTGTTTACGTATTTGTTAAACTACACAGTAAGACAGCCAGAGCATTTCATTCTACTGAAAAGATGGTGTGAGAATTACTGTATTTTGCAGTCTTTTTTTTAAATTAAAGCTTCAGACTTGATATGACAGAATTATTTACTTGTTATGACTTAACTAAGAGATGCCATCCATTCCAAAGTAAACCAGATGATTATTCATAATACTAGTTGTCATTTTTAGTAATGCTTGAGTGTTTGCTTGTTTAACAAGCTATTGACACTCAGTCTAAGCATACATATTAAACTATTTTCCATTATTTATGAAAAGTAGTTAACTCATTTGAACCAAGAACATGCATTTGATTCTCAAATTGTGCCTGCTAATAAAAACGGATTACTGATGCATGAATTTACTGAAAAGTAGGATGTACTCATGGTTAAGAAGACTTCAAACCAGTCATATGCCACCTCTATTAGAAAAAACCCTTCAAAACCCTAAGCAATTTTCACAGATGAAAAAAGTGCACACTACTAACGGTATGCCAATTAGAGTTTAGACATATATTTTGCATCCAACCCTTACATGCAGAAACAAGCATTTACACTGCTCCTCTTCATTAAATATGAAGTCAGTCTGCTTGGGGAAATGGATTTCCTTTAACACTAAGACAACCGCCCAGTAAATCAAATAACTGGAAAAATATCAATACTATCTTTAGACCTGGACACAAACTGATCACATCCATGTTTGGAAGACAGGGAGGAAAGAGGAAATGTTTGCGTACAATAATTTGTTATGTGTTACACTTTAGAGACTTTGAAGATGTCTTTATATGCAATATACTCTGCATTCAGTTCTACGTTTAGATTTTCTGGTCTGTGCACATGAAAACACCAAGAGAACTACATTACAATTATAAAAGAAAAGGAAAATACATATATGCAACAGGATAAACAGTTGAGTATAAATAAAGCTGCCATGCAAATAATAAAGTAACAGTTACATGGACCACTCGCGAAATTTTACAGCTCAGAAAAACACACACCACTTAAAAAGCATTCTTTTTCTGCAAGGAAATTTAAGACGGTGTCTTCATTGTTTGAGATTGCCAGATTTAAAGGTAATAAAGAATTTCACATCCAGAATGAAACAGTCCATAGGTTGCTAACTTTCAGGACATATGTATGCACTGTGAGGAAAACTAAGAAAGAGTATTCCAATTACTTACCTCACCAGGATGCAATCTATCCCAGTTTTCATTAATGTAGGCCATAAGTTCAAGCTCCGAATCAAAGTATTTCTTCTTATGAATAACACTTAGGTTGTAAAGGCATAGATGTGCTATATCTACCCTAGAATTCACAAATATTTGAATAAAACAGAGGAAAAAAGTCTTTTTCTTCCAATTGCTTCTCTTTGAAATAATTCAGTAGAAAAGATTAACATGATATAGTCAGAGGAACACAAAACACAACTTAAAACACTAAATCCAGGGAACAACATTACAAAGCCTCCTGTCATTTCTCTTCAAGTGATTCCTTCTACTTTGAATCTTACTTTCATCTCTGTCTCATCTCATTGACATGTTCTTTTAAACTCCAAAACTTATATAAACCATGGGATGTTTAAGTAAGTTTGAACTCATACTTGAATGTATCAATTCTAAATTCAAGCAAGTATTTTCATGAATCACATTTAACAAGGTAATTTCCACCATATATTTGTTAACACATATATCCCCTAAATTGGACAAAATTTCTAATATGGGTTAGTTAAAAGATTTCATACTACAACTAGTCATTAAGCCTTATCAAGGAAACTATCAGAAAACATGTCAAGATGAGTATTCTAGTACTCACTACATTTGTCTTATCTAATGGCAGGATTGTAAACCTTCAAAAAAGACTTTGTTCAGCTATCTCCATCTTCACATATACAATAAGTAAGCAGTTGCTTGCTACTTCACTGAACAATCTCAGGAATAAATCCCAAGAGCATACAACTGCAATATATCTCTAAAGACAAACTTTGAAGAAAAAGTTGTCCCTGTTCATACAAGCAGTAAGAACAACTCCAGAAACAACTCAAGACAGCAAGTGGATTTTCTTTTTCGCAAGGAGAATCAAACTACCAAAAAGAAAAGCAGAGCATGTATTTGACTTTTTTTTTTTTCCTAAATTCATACTTACCATCTCAAGGGTAAACGTTTGAGGTATTCAGGTCCAGAACTGCAAACTGAGCAAATGAACGTATAAAACCTAAAAATACATAAATATGTATATGTACATGTGTCTGGGTGGTGAGTGTCTGTACACATACACTCTCCTAATTTTTTAAGACCCTAGTTACGAAAAAAAAAGTTAAGCAGGCTAGAAACCCAGTCATATGATATTTGAGAGTCCCTTTGTCCTCCACCTTCCCTTTATCAACTTCTACAACCTATGCTGGTACCTACTGGGCCAGATATAAGGTACTTCTTTAATTTTATCCTGGTATCACTGGTTTACACTCCTTAAGAAAATCCCTCAGCCTATGACTATCACTGAAGATGGTCTGTAATGTCCCTACTCCACTCTCTCAAATGCAGAAACCTGCGCACCAGTGTAAGCACGCATTTAAACAACCCAAGCATTTGAGTCCTAACTCAGTTTGTTCATACAAGTATTCCAGCACAACCAACAGCTAAAAAGTGTAATAGAAAACAAATGAGATACTCCTTGATTTCCTTCTCCAGTTCACTCTCATCCAACTGCTCCAAGTTCCTCTTAAAATGAAAACACAGACCAGCATGCTTTTTCAGTTCCTTTTTGTCCTGACTCATTGCACGTGAACAGAGGATGTATGGAGTTCCTTTCAGCCTACCTATCCTTTCAGCTTTGTCCAGTTCCCTATACTGTTAGTACAGAGAACTACTACTGCACACACACACTGACAGCCTACCTTGAAGCATGCTGCCTGTTGTTTCCAAGAGATTAATCACCTACATAATGTGAACTTGAAAGCCCTTACCTAACTTAAAGGGTCACTGAAGTGGTCTGCTTTAAAGTTTCCAATCTCCCACTAGCCAGCATCTATAGTATAATGCACTTCCACACAAAGTGAAGTCAGTAATAGTTTGAATTTAACTATCCATTGGTTATCTCTTCATCTTCTACACAAAACTCACCCTATTTTTGGAAAACAGTGTTGTATTACAGATATCTTAATAAAAACTCATATGTGAGATTCCCTCCACATTTTAAATAAAGACAACCACAAAGTACAGCTTCTTACCTGTCACCAAAAAGCATTGGCTTCTGGAGGCACTGCACGCAAGCCTCATGAAACCACTGCTTACATTTGCAGCACTGCAACATCTTTAGATACCAGCTTCATCAACAGAAAGAAAAACAAGATACGTTAAATTAAACAGCAAGGAATCTTCTCACCTAAACTGATTTTCACAGTTTGTAAAATAAACAGTCATCTGTAGGGATATTTCAGTAACAGAGTTCCATAATGAATCATTACTAGAAAAGTGTGACTAACAATAAAAGATAGTTTAGTAAAAGGATGAATTAAGCCATCAAATGAAGAAAACAAAAATTTTCTCTGAAAACCACCTTTTAATTCTCAGTCATAAGAATTAACTAACTCATATAATCTCCTTCTCACATACCAGATTAGCTTCCTTGTTACTTTCCACAGCATAGCACAGCCGCATTAAGTCACAAACATTTGTTCTGAGGATTCAACTACTTCAATCCTCAAAATGAACCTCATAGTTTACATTTATTTTTCTTTCCTTTTTCAACTTCTCCCTTGAGCAAAGGAACCATGCAAAATTGAAGGCGATGTTTGTCCAAGTCTGCAAAATTCTCAAACCAGAGCTCTGTCCTGTGAGTATAAACTCAAAAGCTTCACTTCTTTGTGGGACTCTTGACTTGCCTTGACTTCAATTCTTCAATGCTATTCTATTCACTCATCCATGCAAACACCAGAGTATTTATCTCCACCTGCTTAAGAAGTCTGCTTCTTGTCTTTCTTGTAAGAAAGAATCAGCAGAGGACTCTCTAATGCCATAAGAGGAAAAATGTCTATCTCCCCCATCAATAAGTACAATCCAGGGTATGATGTTAGGGTAGAATCAGACAGCTGTCTATTCCAACAAAGCTTATAATAAACTAATCTCTAGATATGTTTTTATTTGTGACTAATGACAGCTGAGTTAGCATCAGAAAAACACTGCCTCCTAGAACTGCAAGATGATGAACAAGGAACTCCATCCAATCAACACAGTAACAATGCAAAAAAATATATTCTTGCTTGCTGTAGAATGGACTGTGATGTTATGTGATGGTCATATGACAAAACCAAAACAAATCAGAAGAATCTGATGGGAGAAGTAAAGTCATGAATCACATATTTCCTATGAGACATTATAAAAAATAAAAATACATATATATAAAAATTCAACATTCCACTTTGCATCAAGTTTAAAACCTACACATAACAAACAGAAACTAGTAAGTTCACAAGTAAAAGTCTACAGTATCAGGTCCGAAATTTGCAGCTGCATTACAGAGAAAAGTTCTTACATATTATCTGTTTACTTACTCTCCAGGTCCTCCACAGTAGCAGTAACACTGCTGGACATTGGTTTTATGACCTGCATCCCATTCAAGGTCTGTTGCATTATATGGTAATGTTTGTTTCATGACTTGCAGTGCTTTGGCATTTGGTCCTTTCTTAAGCGCACCACCCCTCTGGGCCCAAACAAATATATTAGTTTACAAAAAAGGTAATACATTTCTGAAACTTTCAGATCCTTTAATTTGGAAGTTATGAAAATTTGTCTATAATCAAACAAAATACGTTAACCTGTACTTATGTTTTAATAATAGCATATTTGTTTAAAAATAAAGTGAAAGCCAAGTGTCATCTATTTCTAAAATAAATATAAATTCCCAACATAGAACGCCTCCTTTCAAACTAATGTTAATAAAAAAGAAACCACTGAAAAAAATGCTATTTCTTTTACTCTTTTTTGTTTCAACTTCAAAAACAAACTGTGCATGCAATATGGGATGTATAAATAAGTGTTTTTCCAGAAACACACCTTTGTTGTTGTTGCAAAAACACACTGTCGACAGAGCCATTTATCATCTGAATCAATCACGCTGGAATCAATATTTGGTGTGTGACACAGCTGATGGTAACCTGTATATAAAATGATCAACCAAAGTGTTACTAAAATGGCAAAAGCTTACACAGAATTAAGTATATATAATTTTAATGCAACTATAAAGCATTCTTTATCATTAAGTGCCAAAAATGTGATCAAGAAGATTGGTAACACATTCAAAATGGTCTTTTAAATTTTCTTAGTGGAAAAAATAAACTTTACTTACAGAACAGGTGATTGTCACTTTAACATGGATTATCGCTATTCACTGAGCTGTTAATAGCCGCTAAGGGCTATAAAATTTAAGATCAGTTGAGCAGTCAGTCATAGCCAGGCAAATATCCTCCTTCATAAAACAAATCAAAATATCTTTTAAAATACAGCAAATAGAAAAAAAAAATCTAGTTACCTTGCCCACATTTATCACATATAACCATTTCATTCGGTGCTTCTGAATACTCTTCCTGACATATTGTACAGACCATTTCCCCACTTTCAGTGGCTCCTAGACAAAGATGAAAGTGTGATTGTTTTTTCGGATTACATCTGCAGTTGGAATGGTTACCACTTGTATGGCTTTTTTCATAATTTCAGTTCTAGATCCATGGATTGTAGAAACATTGTTACAGAGGCTAACTTCCTAACGAAAACAAATTCAGACATTTTGTACAAAGTGTACGTGCTACAGATATTTATATCACTTATCATAGGCTGTTGAATATTTATAGATTATATATCACTTATTTACTATGCAGTCCATGGTTCTTGGATATCAACAATAAAAAATTAAATAAGGAATGTAAATGCAGGCTAAAAAACATGTATAAACAAATACTATCGGGACAACTGACAGATACTCTGTATTTACAGTAGTGTTTGCTTTTTTTCATGTAAATATATGCACAGTTTGGTGCATATCTTTTTGATATGATCTGCCCAAGGTGCTTTAATATTAAACTCCAGCACTCTTAGAAAGTATGTTATTACTTCTTATACTTCATATCTGCAAGCATACAAAAGCACACAGTAACAGTACAGGTAAGGAAAAAAACATTAGCTTGCAAACTGGAAACAAAACTACATCTTGCTCCAATCATATCATGTATCAGTGTAAAAATCTGGATTAAAATACAAGTTACTTAATCTGCATGTTATCACACTCATGCACTAAAGTTTTATTGTTACAAGAAATGAATCAAAGATCATAAACTAGTTCTACACAGAATCAGAAGAGCAGTATTTTAAAAGCTTCTCAGAAATAAAGCAGTTTCTTTCTTGCTATTATGAATACAAAGCCTCTCCCATTAGCAAGTAAAGTGCTTAGTTTAAACATCAAGAATAAGTGAGAGCCAGATTAGATTCTCATTGCCTTTATATGATTAGGAAACTGTAACTGATTTTCAGAAGAAATTATCACTGAAATCGTCATCCATGCTTCATTAGCATTAGACCATCAAAATACTAGCTACTCCCCAAATATCTGAAAAATCAAAGCTAGTATACATTAGATGTCTCACTTGATAATTGCACATTTCTTTATATCACATGAATACTCCAAAATCTGTAATGGTTTCTTATGTGCAACAGTTATGGTGTTACTTTTAAATGTGAAAACTCCATTCAAATCTAGGATTTTCCAGTCTTTGGTCTCTTTCCATGTCATGTTGTTTCAACTAAAAACAACAGGAGGACATAAACTCAGTGTAAATTAGGGCCTGGAGTATTTTGTTAAGACAGGGTATTATACTCTATGCCCATTCAAATAAACTCAAATGTGATAATTTTTAGAAGTGTTCTCCCCTCCCTGTACATAGTTATGTCAAAACAAAACAAACAAACAACAAACCCACAAAAGGTAACTGTAATGATAAAGAGTTGTTTGAAAAGAATTTACTATTATTTTTTGTAATTGGCCTGATTCAGGATCTTAGGTAACATTAAACTATATATTCTTCAGGATACAAGAAAATAATGTAATAATTTATTTTAACAGATAGAGTGATCTAAACAAATAAAATACCAAACAATGACTACTTCACTGAAGTTCTTGCCTGTTTGTATGTCCTTCCAGAGAACCCAGGATTTGGAACTGTCTTCAAATATAATGAAGCAGTTCTGTTTCAGTTTGTTTATCTGAAAAACAAAAATACAATGGAAGCCATGAGTAAAAACAGAAGAATGTATTTAGTACTATGGAAGCGATACAATAATAGTCTAGTATTTTAACCAACATATGATACCGTGAGACTCCAGTGTGAAGTTAAAAAATTGTTTACCTTTTTGATAGTTCCAAGATAAAACAAGCCATCTGACCATCTAGCTAGGACATCCTGACCTTCTTCAAATTTACACAGTGGCTTTTTGGCTTGCTGTCCATCACGTAATGACAGCTTGGTCAGAGATGCTGAGGTCTTATGGCTTCGACGTAAAGGAGACCGCTTATGGACCAGTGAATTACCCACCGCTGTAGAGTCTCTAAAGAAAGAGAAGCAAGAGAAAAGGTAATCAGAATCAGGTAAGAAACCATGTATTTTACACATTAATATGATTCAAGCTAGAACTTACTTGACTAACCTCAGAACGTCAGGTAACTAAAAATCTGGTCATGTTTTCAGACTTTACACACCTATAAGTAGCAGAGGCACTGTTACTAAAAGAGTCTACAAAATTTGAGAGAAACAAGTTTATATAAAAAAGAAGTCTTCTATGAAGTCAACTAATGTCTATGAGGATGGGGAGACACAAACTTTCCAACTCAGAGACTCTTCATAAAGTCACCAGAAGCACTGAAGAATGCTTCAAAAGCATTCAGTATAGGATTGCTTACGCAAAACTTTAGCCACCTGAGTCACTGACAGTTTCCTAAAATTCTAAGGAAGTTCAAAAGGTCCTAACTCATTTCTAATTACATTACCTTGGTAGGGAGAGCAGCAGTCAACAACATGGTACTCAGCAGTTAGTTACTCAGAATCAAAAAGGAAAAACACCCCAACAAAACCATGAGTGGAGTAGGAGAAAGAAATCAGGTTAAGCACTATGCTAACTCAATGTCTATACTAACCCAGGTACCTCCAACACAGCACCATGCTTTGCCACTAAGCATAGCTGTAGTTGCTTCCAGCAGAGAAAGAATTTCCATGTATTCAATTGCTAATGTAAAGTAAGTTTTCATTTCTGTTAGAATCAGAGAGGAAAAGAATAAGGAAGGAAAATCAAAACATCTTGCAACCTTTCTTCACACATGAAACTCAATTACAAATTACTTGAATCAATAATTTTTTTTCCTCCAACAATTTCACCATATATAGCCTATTTATATGTAAGTATACATAAGTGTGAATATGCTTTTATGTCAGACTAGCTATCAAACACTATGCTCCAAGTACAGGAGTAAAACACAGAAAAATATAAAATAGGTAACGCACAAGGAAGAATCATCCTAAGTAACAGGCAGAATCTGAGACTATAAAACAAAGTTACAATTCCTATATATAAATATATTTTCTCTTTAGAAACTAAACGTATGTATAACTGACACAAACACAAGGACAGATCAGGAAGTTAAATAGGACAGAGTCAATTGAAAGAGGAAAGTTTCACCTCACTCAAGATAGCTTAAGTATAATACAGACGTTTCTGGTGCTGATAATAATCACAAAGCACCAATAAAACCAGTAAATGAACCAGTATTCTATAGAGTTTGATGAGAATTCAGATGTTAGAGAAGTTACTCTAAAGTTTCAAAGAGAAGGGAATCCCTTCTCCCTAAAAAGCATACTTACAGTCAGTCTAAGTCTGAACAATGACATGACAGTAAGAGCAGCCATAATGGGCCAGACGAGTGTTCCACCTAGCCTAATAACTCTGGCATCCTCATGCACAACTGGGTCACCAGTTTAAGTCCTGCCTGATCCCAAATACAAAAATATTCAGACAGGTAACTAGGAAAGATCAGAGGAATAGACAAAACTTAGAATAGCACTCTTATCCCAAATATTCTCTACGTCTTTTACAGGCTGTGGATCCAAAAATCTCAAGCAGTAGTGTCTTTATTTTTTCAGTCCTTAATGGAATTTTCTTCTGCAAGTCTTCCTATATGTTCTTTGAACCTGTCAAGCAGCACTTTTTGGCTTGTTTCACAGCTCGCACCTTGTCACTTCATTTGACACCTTTCATCATTGCATCAGAAAACTAAACTGTCATTTTCCATCTTCTCCCTTCATGCCACAGCAACAATGTTTAGACCCGCCCAGACATATTTCCCAGATAAAGAATCCTACCAATTCTGCTGCTTCTTACATGAAAGCTGGTTTAAGTTACTGCTGCTTTTCCCTAGTTCTAGGTTAACCCTCCGATAAATGGGGCACGATGCATGCAGCTTTCAAAAATAAGTTTACAATAACAGGGTAACAGCATAGCAGCCCAGGCCTTTTTTCATTCTTTGCTTGTTTCCAACTAACAACATTTGTAGCCTCTTCCCCCATCACTGCAATTAGATATTGAGTTAAAAGTTTCAAAGAATGATTAGAAACTGCAGGTTCTCATTCTAACTGCTCCCGGACTATTGTTTCTTTTCCCACTGTGTATTACTTGTTTGCACTGGATTTCATTTGCCACTTCATTATCCAGTCACTCAGTAGCTTGAAGTCCTTCTACGCTTTCTACATTATTCTGAATAACCTTGTACCCTTAGAATACGTCACCATTTAAACTTATCTTTTGTACATCACTGCAAGATTTTGCCCTTTATCTTGTAAGGTAGCCTAAATTTTTGCAAAAGCCTCTGAAGTAGGGCCACAGCCCTTAACACTTGTTGCAATCACATTCTACTCACTCCTTTGTATCCGTACAACCATTTACAGACTCAAGTACCAAACAGGCTCAGAAACAAACGTGTGTCAAGTCAACCAGTCAAGAGAGGAAAAAAAGGTTTTACCTTCATCAGTTTCCCAAACCTCTCTGACTACGCACACGTCCAACTTAGCACAAAGCAAGCGATGTTCAAAGGCTAGGCAAGGCTTCATCAAGGCAGTCTAGAAATAGTTGTTCAAGCATAACCTAGTCTCAGCCAATAATTATTTTCTTGGAAAGGACTCCACATTACAAAGTATTAAAGTATTTAGATACTTCAAATTACATCCATGAACTTGATTTACCATATTAAACAGATCAATAAGTTGCTGTGTGTAGTTCAAAGCACCTAAAGCAAATTCACTAGTGCACCTTGAAAAAGTTCAACAACTGTTTTGACAGAACTACTCTCTTCTAGAGGTTCAAAGATTTTCTTTCCAACTTTTTATCTAGTTTAAGAGACTAGAGAAAGCAGCTAAAAGGTAGGACTGTTGGCTCTTCTTTTCCAGTACTTGAAAAAAGGTGTGAAAGATTTTGTACAGAATCAGTAAAAAGACACAACTGATTCATTTATTACATGTAATCTAGTACATATTTCCATTTAAAAATCAACAATTACTTGAATGAGTTTTATATTCAAAAAGTCTTCAAAAGCATATGATATTCTAAGTACAGAATTTTATCCCATAACTCCATTCAAATTACAACAAAAATGTGTTGTTCATAATCTTCTGGCACAAAGCACTTGTATAAGTCAATGTATAGACTCATTTAACAGCCTAAATCCACAACAGCTTCTTCAGACATCGAAGTATCTTGACACACAGTAAAGGTCTGAGCCAATAAAGCAGATGCTTCTCCATTGTCCACACAGCTCTTTTTGTGGAATATCGCACTGCTGAAGTGATGACTAAACAACTCACCATGTAGCTGCTGCTGTGGCAGTTGATGGTTCATCTAACACGTAGACTGAAAATAGGGTTAGTTATCACAATAGGCTGACACTTGGAGCTAGCTTAACAGTTGTTTTCCACAAGTATAAGAAGTTCCTCTTCAGGAAAACATTCCCTCAATGTTTTGATGGAGATTAAGTGGGAAGAGCTACTATTTTAACAAGTTGACTTTAATTAGCAAGCCATAAGTTACTTAAAGCAGGTGTCTCTGAAGTGTCTTCTGGGAACATTGCAAAGAAATAAGAAATCCAGTGCAGATCAGCATTAAAACTACATGCCCAAAATGTTAATAACTTGGTCTGTCTTGCCACAGCTCTCTCTGCTGTAGTGGAGTGCTAAAAAGACTCACCAATCATTAAAACAAAATTTCTGTTGGAAGTTAAGTGAAAAGGCAAACTGTCGTTTTGCCATTTTTGAAATTAGTTTAAAGGTTCCACATTTTCTAGGAACTTGCTTTCAAGTCTTCCCTAAAGTTGCTCCATGGCACCTTCCTACCATACCATTTACAGTTACCAACAAAATTAGTAATCTTTAAGCAACAATTTCTCCATCATCTTAAAAACTCTCCAAGAAAATCGCATTGCAAAATATCCAACAGATCTCTTGTTTTTCAGAAAAACTTAGCAATATAAAAATCTACTTTACCTCATTTAACTTGCACAACTAACCTACACTGCATGTGACACAGCATGTCCAACTTACCTTGGCTTTACATCCTTTACTCAATACTGAGTGGCTGTATTCTTAATTAAGCACTTAAAATGCACAGAAAGTACTTACGTACCCATACGATCTTTCAGAAGTTAGTGGGGGAAGTCAGTAAAATGTGTCTGTATGTTGAAATACGCTTTGAAATGGAAGCATACTTTCATCATTTCTTGGTAAGTTGATCTCAATAAGTACTGAAAATGCTCATTGATTTTTCACCTTGGGCTCTAGATCATAACCAGATACTCTCAAGCAAGACAGGCAGAAGAATTCATCTGCTTCATAAATCAGTTTATAATATGCTGCAGCAGCAGGAGATAGCTGTCATTCTTTGTCAACAGGAATGGCAAGCTCCCTCTGAAGGTAAGTTACCTAAATCAGTCTGATTTGTGAACCATGACAACTTACTACGCATAGCATTGTATTTATCAAAATCAAAACTAGATTTCTGTTAGTTTTGACTTGTTTGTAACTCATTCTAACCTCTTTATTAGAGGTTAGAAAGTGTCAGTGTTCATTTGGTGCCCGACTCCTGTATCTCTACAGCAATCCTACAGACAGAAGTAGTGGAGAAGTTAGGGAAAGAGATGTGAAGGATTAAAAAGACTGAGCAACCTCTCTCGTTTCCAAGTGTCTTTTTCCTCAGCAGCGCTGCCAGGTTAAGGTCATTCGTACTCCTGTACCCCTTCAGTTGTAACAACTGCTGTGAAACAACTCTTGTTAAGAAAAACTCCCTTGACAGAGTTATTTTTTCAGCCATCTCAGTTCACTGATCTGTTTCACAGAATGGTTTGTCAGCACAACAGAACACATGCAAACAAGCAACTTGGGACACAAGCTCCCTCAACTGGCACTGCATGACTGAACTATAGACAGTTTCATTGACAATCCATGCAATTTCAGGAAATTTATTCCTGAAGGGCTGTGTGATTCACAAATACTGCAACAGTAACAGATGACAGC